TAACTTTTTAATTAGAAGCCTCCGCGGTCTGGGGTCTTGACTTTTAGAATCTCATTTTCTATTTTTCAAAATGTAGAATGAATTTAAGGAAAATTTTCCCTTAAAAACTACAGTGCAAATGAAATTTATGATTTTCGATTTTAATAAATTCGTTAACATTATTTTAAATAAATTAATAAAGTCGTTAAATAATAATTCAAAATTTTATATAATTTAGATATTTATAGAATTAATAAAATATATTGAGGATTATTTATTTCATATTAACTCAAGGAAAGACTTAAGATACGAACTTGAGTTGAAATAGTTTTGTTTAACGTTAAATAACCATTAAATTAAATTAATACCACTGAACGTATAATGATAAAGTACGTTGCAATTTAAATTTAAAAATATAAATCAGCAGTAAAAGTTATACTGATTCCAAAAATATCAGCTCACCAATCTGAAGATATATCATGAAAACAAAAGTAAATAATTGTTGTGTTCCTTGTCTATTTGATTGTGATGTACAACTGCCGTCGCCAATTATTTAAAAATAAGCGCCAATATAATGCTGTATTTCATGATTGTGAAAATGTTGCTAACGTCGAAGTCAGTGCTCAAACTTACAAAAAGTTAAAAGATGTAGATTTTACATACAAAAAATGGTAGAAGTTGGTAAATGTTAAAAAACCCCTAATTAGATAGTTTTTACTCGTATCTATAGCGTAAATCAAGGCGTATTCATAAATGGTGGTATTACGAGAGCAGCTCGATTTTCGCCTCGGTGGTTCTTTATGTCAAAATTGTGTAGTTGTTGTGATTCTTACTGTCCGGTACTATTTGTTTTTGTACTCCTGCTATCACCTTATATGAATTCGCCTTGAGATAAATTATATTTTTTTTATAAAACAACAAAACTATATATTTTAAGCAAATAAAACATTCAACAAAAAACGCATAGATTAAACTGGTGCCGAATCATGGCATTCATGATCGAATGAAACTCTTTTCATATCGAATGAAATAAAATGGCAGCTGTTTTCTCTCAAATACATTTTAAATTGAAAACGCGAAAAGCCGTAATCTCAAAAAGTAAATTCTATTCGAATTTGATTCGATCACGGATGCCATGATTCGGGCCTGATAAAGATGCAATCTCACTTTTAAACACTGATCTCCGCTCAAACATCGTTATCGACATCCATGCATATAACACTGTGTCGGTAACGTCGGCATCAATGTTTAACTGGGGAATAGTGTTAACCAGAGTTGTTGAAAACGGTCCTTAAATTGGTTATGGTTAGAGTTAACTTTTCGTTTTTATTTTAGGTGTGTTCGATGCAAAGAAGAGGATGGTTCCGTGCGCAGAAGTGGAAAACTTTTGACTGCCATTCACCTGCGAGTGGCCAGAAGCGATTCTTGTGCGTACGGTTCAAATCGCAGCTCACAACGTCCGGATATTTATATCCACGTATCCTCTGGGTAGCAACCAGACACCCGTTTGGGAGCGAGCTAAAGTGAGAAGGCGTAAAACTTCGCGTGCGCTGGGTTTGGGTTGATGTCCTCGGGGAGACAAAGGCTGACATCACCGCCATCCAAGAAATGCGATGGACGGGGCCAGGAAAAGTAAGCGTGAAGCCTTGCGATGTCTACTACAGTTGCCACGTAAAGGAGCGCAAATTCGGTGTTGGATTCGTGGTAGGAGAGAGACTCCGTCGCCGAGTACTGGCGTTCACCCCGGTGGACGAACGTCTAGCCACAATCCCCATCAAAGCTAGATTCTTCAACATCTCGCTCATCTGCGCCCATGCCCCGACGGAAGAGAAGGATGAGGTGTCCAAGGATCTCTTCTATGAGCGCTTGGAACGTACATATGAGCGCTGCCCCCGACACGATGTCAAAATCGTGCTTGGCGATTTTAATGCCAAGGTGAGCAAGGAAGGGATCTTTGGCGCCACTGTCGGAAAATTCAGCCTCCACGACGAAACGTCCGATAACGGACTGAGGCTGATCGAGTTCGTCGTACTGTACTAGGTTCCAGAATAAGAACATCCACCAAGCTACATGGCTGTCTCCAGATCGAAAAACGAGAAACCAAATCGATAATGTTGTGATAGACGGAAGGCATGCTTCAATCGTTTTAGACGTACGTACACTCCGAGGGCCAAACATCGACTCGGACCACTATCTTGTTGTAGCCAAGGTACGCACCCGCCTCTGTGCAGCAAAAAATGTGCGCCCAACAATGCAAGGAAGGCTTAACGTCGAAAAGCTGCAATCCAACAGACGGCCAGCTTATTCGCCACTCGACTCACACACCTGCTCTCTGAGAGCACTCTTCAACAATCCGACATACGCGAGCAGTGGAACCACATTTCCCGATCATTAAGTACCGCCGCCGAAGAAGTAGTCGGATTTCAGCGAGCCCGAAAGAACAACTGGTACGATGAGGAATGTCAAGAAGCCGCAGAGAAAAAAGATGCCGCCTACAGGGCCACGCTTCGATCCGGGGCAACGCGAGCCATGTGGGACCGTTATAGGGAACTGAAAAAGGAAGCGAGACGTATTTGCCGCAATAAGAAGACAGAGGCCGAAATACGTAAGTGCGAAGAGCTTGAGATGCTGGGCGACCGGGAGAACGCCTGAAAATTCTACCAGAGGGTTAGACGACTTACGGAAGGTTTCAAGACCGTGGCGAACTCCTGTAAGAACAACAATGGCGACCTAGTGACCGATGTCCAGAATATACTTAAATTGTGGAGGGAACACTTTTACAACCTACTAAATGGCAGCAGCGCAGAAAGTAGTTAAGAAGACGAACCCGAGTCCCCAGTCGATTATGATGGAGTAGCTGTCCCACCGCCTGACTATGACGAGGTACGAATAGCGATTACGCGGCTGAACAACAACTAAGCTGCTGGAGGTGACGACCTGCCAGCCGAGCTATTCAGGTACGGCGGCGAGGAGCTGATGAGGTGCATGCATCAGCTCGTATGCAGAGTATGATCAGATGAACGCCTGCCCGACGACTGGAATTTAAGTGTGCTCTGCCCAATCCACAAGAAAGGCGACCCCGCCATACGCGCCAACTACCGCGGAATCAGCCTTCTAAGCATAGGTTATAAGGTCTTATCGAGTGTATTGTGCGAAAGACTGAAGCCTACCGTTAACGAGCTGATTGGACCTTATCAGTGTGGCTTTAGGCCTGGAAAATCCACCATAGATCAGGTATTTACAATACGCCAAATCTTGGAAAAGACCCGCGAGAATAGAAACGAAACACACCATCTATTTGTCGATTTCAAAGCCGCTTTCGACAGCATGAAGAGAAGTTGCCTTTATGCAGCGATGTCTGAATTTGGTATCCCCGCGAAACTAATACGGCTGTGTAAATTGCCGTTGAGCAATACCACCAGCTCCGCCAGAATAGGGAAGGACCTCTCCGAGCCGTTTGATACCAAACGAGGTTTCAGACAAGGGGACTCCCTTTCGTGTGATTTTTTTAATCTGATGTTGGAGAAGATAATAAGAGCCGCAGAACTGAACCGCTCAGGCACCATACTTTACAAGAGCGTACAATTGCTGCCGTATGCCGACGTCATTGATATTATCGGTAAAAAAGGCTACGTCTGTTCTACCTTCTCGGGATTGGATAGAGAAGCAAAGCGAATGGGTCTGGTGGTGAACGAGAACAAAACGAAGTATCTCCTGCCATCACAAAAACAGTCAGAGCATACGCGTCTTGGCACCCACGTCACTGTTGACAGTTACAAGTTTGAAAAAGTAGACGACTTCGTTTATTTGGGAACCAGCATTAACACCAATAATAATGTTAGCCTTGAAATCCAACGGAGAATCACTCTTACCAACAAGCGCTACTTTGGGCTGAGTAGGCAATTGAGAAGTAAAGTCCTCTCTCGTCGTACAAAGATCACACTTTATAAGTCACTCATCATGCCTGTGCTGGTGTATGGCGCGGAGGCATGGACAATGAAAGCATGTGATGAGGCGGCTCTTGGAGTTTTCGAGAGAAAGATTCTGCGAAAGATTTACGGACCTTTACGCGTTGGTGATGGCGAATATCGCGATTTAACGATGAGCTGTATGAGCTTTACCACGATATAGACATAGTACGGCGAATTAAAAATCAGCGGCTCCGCTGGCTTGGCCATTCCGTTCGAATGGACAGAAACGCTCCTGCTCTGAAAATATTCAACGCGGGTCGCGATTCTGTTAACAGAGGAAGAGGAAGGCCTCCTCTGCGTTGGAAGGACTAGGTGGAGAAGGACTTGGCTTCACTTGGCATTTCCAATTGGCGTCAGTTAGCACAGAAGAAAAATGACTGGCGTGCTGTTTTGGACTCGTCCAAAATAGCTTAGGCGGTTACAGCGCCAATAAAGAAGAAGAAGTTTTCGATGACAAAATATGTATACATTGGTCGAAGTTGATAATCGACGATACTGATCAAAGATAACAGACCTCTATCTCGATTGAAATCGACGCTATATCGTTTTTTCAGGTGTTTCTACTGCTACAGCAATGTATAGACTCGAAAATATACAATTTCGATTGGATACAAAAAGCAGGATCGAGAATAAAAATAAAGTAGCATTACAAAAGGTTTATAAATGAAAACGTAAATTTATAATGCTTTTTAAAACTACTTCATTTCTTATGAATAAGGCCATTATTTTAATTAATATATAGAAAAATTCCAATTGAGTATGTTAAATATTTATTTATTAAAAAGTAATAAAAAATTTTCTCTTTGAACAACCAAGGCGAATTTATACAAGGTGGTATCGGTTGAGCAAAAACAAATATTACAACA